TATATATATATATACACATACATACAATTAATGTATTCCATTGATTTTAAACACACATCTGTGTAACTTTCAGAAGGTCAAAAACATATTTGTGGGAACTCAGCGCAAATCTCCTTGCAGTACAATGACAGGGAACAAGGCCATGGTCAAAGCAGGGTGCCTGAGCTCGCTGCATGGATATCTTTCACATAGTTACCCCAATCGAGGTGTAAATTAATGGGGTTCTGTTCTTCTCTTTTCTCCCCGCAGGGAATTACTGGAACGCTGCCTCCTTCCCGAACCCGTCATCCTACCTGCACTTCTCCACCTTCCAAGGGGAAACCAGCGCGGACATTTCTTTCTATTTCAAGACCCTAATCCCCCGGGGAGTGTTTCTCGAAAATCTTGGAAATACAGATTTCATCAAGCTGGAGCTGAAGTGTGAGTATCGGTTCTCTGTCGACCTCGGGCGGCCCCTTGGTGCCCGTGTGCAGGCCGGTCGTGGCCGAGATGGTGCTGTGGCACCCTGTGGTGGTGCCGGGTGACGGTCCTGTTGCTCCAGGAGCAGGACTACGACGCAGCCTCAGGCTTGGTCCTTGGGAGGTTCCCTAAGACTAGGACACGGGTCCAGGCAGATGCCATGCAAGCAATCCCGGGAGCTTTTACTGCCCCAGTGCAGCCAAGCAATCCCGGGAGCTTTTACTGCCCCAGTGCAGCCAAGCAATCCCGGGAGCTTTTACTGCCCCGGTGCAGCGGAGGACGATGGACCCAAGTTTTCTCCGGTGGGATTGTTCTCCAAAGAGAAGGGTCGGGCGTAGACAGAGAAGCGTGCAAAGTGATCGGAAAACCAGGACAGGCAGGAAACGAAGGAAACATGACGGAAAACTGAATCGCACATCCACCTGGTGGCGGCAGCTCCAGGGGCAGTTAGCATTTGAAACGCTGAGAGTCAGTCTTCCCGAAGAGGCCCCAGAGCGTGGGCTCCAAGCGCGCCGCCGTTCCACCTTCCCACGGGCTCTGTCCTCTGTAGGGCCTCAGCCCAGCCCTAGGAATTTACAGTCCACGCTGCTTCCAGTGAAGTGAGTGCTTGCCAATGCGGGCTCTGCTGGCTGCTTAGACAATCCTGCATCCTGGGCCCCCACCTCAGAATGTGGATTCCTGCTGGGCATGTCGGGAAGCAGCCTTCCCTACACTGACCTCTCTATCTGAGTGTCTATGCTCCTGGGTCTGGTCTAGGATTGATCCCACGTCCAGTGCTTCATACCATCTGACGGGAGGTTTTTCTGCTTTTGTGCTTAGAATAATGCAGTGTGGTATTCAAAAGAAGAAGAGCCAGGATAAACATCTTGCTGATGACATTCAACTGCATTTCTCTGGGTGTCCTCCTCTGTCTCTGTCTCTGTCTCTCTCTCTGTCTCTCTCTCTGTCTTTCTCTCTCTGTCTCTCTCTCTCTCTCTCTCTCTCTCTCTCTCTCTCTCTCTCTCTCTCTCTCTCTCTCTCTCTCTCTCACACACACACACACACACACACACACACACACACACACACACATACTAATGATAGACCATGAAGAAGTAGGACAAGGACTTTGGAGCTATTTGCAGTTAGCGTTCTCAAGTCCACACCCAAAGTTGGGGTGAATTGCTTCATTTCTTTGAATGTCAATTTCTGGTACAGTAAAAATGAGGTGCTAACATGTGTGGGTTGTTGTGAGGCTAGAATGGGGCTACCGAAGCATTTAGTTCAGCTCCTACAAGGTCCTGAAAATAATTACCTTCCTGAGGTTGCTCATTACAGGTCTGATCTGAGCCAGATCTAACCAAAAGGGAAACTGAGAATATTCTCACCCTAGAATTAACATTATTAATTAATTAAAACTCTTGACTAAACTGTGGATTATAATTATTTAAAGGGAATTTTCACTTCATTAAAATTAATTGAATCAAACTAGAAAGCTAGAAACTTTTCCATTCATTGGATCACCTTTAGAGATAGCTCATGGCCAGACAACAAAATTGATGATTCCATAGTTGAGTAGTTCTGTAAGTTTTTATAAAATTACTTGGAGTCCTCCTATTTACTGTTAGTCTCCTACTTTGGAAAGCCAAGCCTTAGGGGAGGAGACCTCAACTCCAGACAGGACAGGTGCTTCTCCTTGGCCCTCACAGCAAAGTTCATGTGTTTCTGATTAAGAAAAGGGTTGAGAGATGTTTGCAATGGCTTCTGGGTCTTTCCATAATGTGGCAATTCTGTGACAGAGCTGTCACTGGACAGAATTGGAGGAAGTTCCCAAACCAATGCCTGCCGTCCCAGGAGAATAACTTCCCGTGCAGAGTGACCCTCTCTGAGGCCTAGTAAGGAGTGTAAGGGATTTATTAAGCAGAAATCAAAAGCACACATGCAACAAATAGAACACAAGCCCTCGAGAGGGAGGCACATTGTTTCCTGGAAGAGAAATAATTTATGTTTCTCTTGAAGAGGTGAAAACCCCGGGCAAAGGTTTACAGATATGAGCCCATTTTTAAAACTCTGATTAGACCACGTGTGTGGTGTGCGCTGCTTATGCTGTGTGGAGCTAGCATGCATCCGCAACTCCCCTAAATTCCTTTCGCATCCCTTTCTTTCCTCTCCATCCTTCCACCTCTTGATTCTTTCCCCTTTAAGAAAGGCCTGTCTCCTCCTGCCTCTTATAGTATACAGTTTGCTCTTCAGTTCTGATTTGGGTTTCCTGTGTGAGAGAACCCACGTGACGTTCAAGCCTGTGTGTCTGATCTGCTTCGCTCCAGCTGCATTCACTTTCCTACGAACAATTCCGAACTCCCTCAACCTGTTCCTTATCTCCGGATCAGGCGCCTGCTTTCATTTCCTCCCTTAAGCCAATGTAGAGATTTGCAGCCATTATGCAGAATTTGGGGTGTGATGGTGGTGACAGGAAAGGAGCCTGAATTATCCAACAGCATGCCACTGTGGGCCACCTCGGATGACTTCAGCTGGGGATCCTAGAAGTTGTAATCTTCTTCAAAATACCATGGTTAGTTATGAGTTCCTTGTGTCCTTTCTAGCTATCTTTTTTTTTTTCTATCCTATCCCAGGGTGAATTTCTCCAGGCTTTTTCTTTCTTTTTTTTTCTATTCATAATAACTTTTTTTTACAGTTTCAAAGCTGATTAATAGGACAGTTTCAATAATTAATACATTGTACACTGTTATCTTCTTAGCGGTTATCCATAGTACAAGAAGCAGACAGGATATCCTGTCTAAACACTATTACTACAAATCTTTCTTCTCATTGAATTAAACAAAAGTAGCTGTATATCTATCCTAACTATTCTGTATATACAAATACAAAATGGTCCTTCCTTTGTATCCCCTTTTTTTGTGCAGTCCTATCAGAGATGAGTATTCTATTGACATCTAAATACTATAGGTGCTTGAATTCAGCAAAACAATCCAACACAGTCCAGCAGTCCACAATAATAGTGGGTTATTGGCAGAAGTTGTTGACTAGAGCCTTTTACAGCTCTGTATATTAATACGGCTTTACTCTATATACCTCATTTTTATACTTTTCTGCTGGATGGTTAAGACCAAGACAAAGAAAGACCTATATAACGAGAAATGTAACTTTTATATCTGATAAGGTCAGTCAAGTCCCCTCAGGATTTATCCTGTAACCCTGTACTGCACTTTGTAGATCCTTTGTTAGTGTCAGCCATGTGGATGAGTCATAGCCATTGCTTGACCAATTTGCTCTCTGTGAAATCCTGAGAGAATGTTTTCTCTCCATGTGACTCTCCCCAGGCACACTATACATCATCGATCACATTCCTCTGTGGCTCTATAATCTCCTTGATCAGAAAATTTAGGGCACAACTGAGTTACATGATGTTACAGTACAGATTCTTCTATCTCCTCAGTCTTTACTGACCTTGAAAGGCTAGGGCCAAAATGTTGGCTGACCATGCAGCCCTTCCTTTACTTCAATTTTGGTCTGCAAACTTAGGTTTTTAACCCTCCAGAAGAGAAGCTTATTATTACCCTGCAACATATGCAGTTCAGTTTACCGTATCTGTCTAAATATCAAATATCTTAGATATAACATGGAACAGGTATTTTCCATCAAATATTGATGTGAACTTTAAGTCCTCACAGAATATGAAGAAAAAATTTTTAATAGAAATAAACACATATTTTAACACAGAAATTTAGAAATCTAACTATATACAGCATTGTAGCAGGACAGTAATATGACATTTTTTTCTTTTTCTTATGTCTTTTTTTTCATTTATTATCCATTAAAAATAACTTTTACTTGTGAGACAGTATGGTAATAATTGGTATGTCATAACAAGAAGTATATATTTAGAAGACAAGAATGACAGGCATATATGCTGATACCTGTGAACCAAGCAACTGCACTGAAGACAACAATGTGTAATAGAAGGGTCATGCTTAGAATGCCTGTCATTCCAGGCTTTTTCTTGTCACAAAGCTTATTTTGTGTGTGTGTGTCATCTAGGGACATTCAAAGCACAAATCTGAGGCTGGCTTTCCCCAGAGACCCCTTTTATACCTCCTTAGGATCCCCACACAGCAATAGCAGACCTCCAGCACCATGTGGCGTCTCTACTGGGGTCAGAGTGGCCTGCTTGTAGAGGAGGGAAGACAGGTATCTGAATTCCAGAAACTTCTTTCTTGTGCCAGAAATCAAACTCAGGACCTTGAGCTTACCAGGCGGGCACTGTGCCGCTGAGCTGTATCACCAGCGCCTGAGAGAAACTTCTTGAAAGTAAAAAAGAAGCTCATTTTCATAAAGACATCAACCCATCACAGTGGCTGAGTCACAAACTGATTAAGTGACAAAGAGTATTTATAAACACAGAGACAAGCAGGGTTGGATGCCAGAGCCTTGCCAATTTCAAATGAGTTTTGAAGGCCAAAACCACAGGAGAGAAGGAAGATAACACAGGCTGTTTTTCAAAAATTTAGATCAGAGTAGACATGACAGCGAGACAGCTCCAGAGAAAGGGAATGGACATCTTTGTGTTTTGTTTTGGGGGCACTGGGGATTGACCCCAAGCCTGTGCCCTGAGCTACATCTCCAGCCATTTTTTCTCTTTTAGTGTTTTTGTCTTATTATTTTGATTAGGGGTTTTTTTTGGTTGTCTTTGTTTTTTTCTTTTATTTTTAGAACGAATCTCACTAACTTGCTAAATTGTCCAGGCTGGGCTTACATTTGATACCCTCCTGCCTTCCATGGTGCTGGGATTATGGGAAGTCACAAACAAGCCCAGCAGACATGGGGTGCCTTAAGGAATATTTTTGAAATGGTTCTTGGAGAAGCGGGAGAGAGGACGAAAACAATAGACCAACACTCTTTCCTCTATTAGGATTTAGGGGTGAGATGACCCCAGCGGTGGCTCGCAGGGCTGGCACATTGCA